TTTCTGCAGTAGATCAATGAAAACGTAAATATTAGGATGTGGTGCATTTACATGTTTTTTCATTCTTGAATGACGGCCTTCCAAATAATTAATTGTGCGAGGCATTACATTGCGATGATGATTATACCTATGTGGTGGAAATCACCTAAACAGACCATATGTATGATGGTAATAATCAAGAAATTGTGTAATATTCGCAAAAGCTGGTTTAGTGCGAATTAAATGCTGTAATCCGCACCACATATGTGCTACTGGTAATAATGCTAGTGCCGCGAATGATCTAAACCAATCGCGAAGATTTTCATCGTTCTTATATGGAGTTTTTAAACCAAGGTCAACAAATTTACGGAAAAGACTTTGTCCGTAATGAAATAAACAGCCTCTAACAGTTACAGTTGGCTACTGTTTGGAGAAAACATTTGAAACCCCTAATTCAAAATCAATTGTGAATGTTAGTAAGCGAAAAATTTGCATTTTCCGGGTTTTAGACCGACGCAACTTGCTTCGCCTATAACTCTGGATGAAAAGGTATTCCGGAGCTGAAATGTTTACCATAGTCAGGCTAGGTAACCTGTGGTAAAAATATCAGCGAAATCCATTCTTATCAGTATAACCATCTGTCTGAACTTCTCAGACAATGGCTCTTAACTTCTCAGTGTGCAGCAGCTACTACGTTAGTAAAAATGTGAAACACCGAAGATATGAAAGTTTACCAAAAGGTTTAAGAATGGAGTATTTTCTATTGACCTGTTCAAAAAAATGAATACAGTGAAAAAATGCTATTTTAAATAAGTTAATAAAAATGAATGTCATTACTACCGTTCCAATGGTTCAGGTACTCATTAAGTATATATTTTGCCGCTCCTATGGGATGCCACCAAGACGGAGATTTCTTGTCATATAAGCCGGCTGCAACTATTAATTATTCATTTCAATCACTGCAAATATTTAGAAGATGAAAATACTCATTGGACATTTTGATATGTTTCAAATGGCACACTGTTTTGCGTTCTGTTTTGAATTATAATTTTTCTCTCCTTTTGCTATTGCTGCATCACTAGAAAAACGGTGTATATTTTGTTTCGAACTAAACATGAATGAATAATCTTTTACATTTCTGTTTAGGGTGCATCCCCCAAAAATTCAGTTTTTACTATTTCCAGTTCTCTTTTCTTTCTGCTGGAAAAAATCCGCTCGGTGGAAATGAAATGAGGTAAACGGAAATAAAAAAAAGTACGATTGGTGTGAACATTGCAGAAACTAACTGATTTTGTTGCGACAGCGGTAAAACTTTTACCACGGTAACGGTGAACGGATTTACCGGTTACCGCACATCCCTACTTATAATATAAAAGTTCATTTACTGAAGTCATGATACAGTCTATCCTACTTATCTTGCTTATGTACATGACAGAAATCCACGAGAAAAATTGAAAAAATTGGCCGAAAACCGAGATGGCTGACACAAAACCTCTCAAAATCTCATAAAAAACTAATTGTTTTGTAGAAAGCGGCATATATTCTGAAAGAGGAGACTTTGGTCTATCTAGCTGAGCAAGGAACTCAATTCCACGTTCTCGATGAAGGTCAACAATTTCGCTGGGGAGATCCTTAAGCAATACTTGAACTAAAAGTTTTTGATTCCATCGAAACTAGTGGAATAGTTATAAAATAGCTTGACACGTGTAACTTGATATGCTCTATAAAATGGCTGTGAAAATCCCAAATTCGATTAAAAAAGAATTTCATGGTCTAGTTTTCTAGAAATCTCACTTGGTTTTCGAGGAGATTTTAAAAGTTCCCAAAAATTCCACCGTGACTCATGATAGTGCACTTGGTGTACTTTAAGAATATGTCGTTTCGGGGGAGAAATTCGCCCGGTTTTCAGAGAGAAGATCTTTCTCCAAAATGACGGGTTCGATGATTTGAGCTCTCACGGGATCATCTACTGCAATAGAATGAAAGCATGTCTGGAGCTCGCGGTTGTGTGAATTTGTAAATAGTGATCGTTTGTCGACTGAACTCTAGATTTTTATACAAACTATTTACAAAAAAGTCTAGTAATAAAAATAAAAAGCTATCTGACTCAGTGCAAAGTTAGAAAGAATAACTCTGTAAAATCCTAACTCGTATCTAAATTAGCGTTGGTTATTTTTCTGTGTGAAATAACATTTTCTTTCGCCAATGAACTGAAAAACATGCAGAGTACTTCTTTATAATCTTTTCCGTTGTTGCAAGCGTAGAGACTTCTCCAGAATCGTCGTTGAAGTTTTCGATCGAGTTGTTTTTCTTCAAAATATGCATCGTCAATCAGTTCTACCATTTTTGGGAATGACTGTTCACTAGATGACTTATGTACTTGTGAACCATTTATAGGTTATACTTCAAATATAGCATTAAAATAACAAGATACAGATACTCTTTATTAATATCGATTTTCAATTTGGTGATTTGTATCGACAACTAGATGAATCTAACATTTTGATGAACCACAGATATGTGCGAAAAGTTAAGTTAAAAATTTGTTTAGTATTCGACTAGCTTAATAATGAATTTCTTTTGGCTAAAAAGTAGCAGAAACTATACACAAAGGAAAGAGGTATCATTCTATAGAAAGCTTTGATTTTCTATTCGTTCTTGAAACAAAAGATGTGATTGATTAATAGCATGGAACTAATAGTTTATCATTAATACAAAACAGAAAAAGCAGCTTGATCAAGAAACTTTATAAAATAAGAGAAGTAAACCACAAATCGCCCATTTAGGTGAGATAAGTGCATTGGTTGAGGATGCTGCAAATAAAGCTTCGCACCAATTTCCACAATTGGGTTGAAGAATCGAGGTTATCAACATGATCACCATTTACCAGGTATGTGGTAACATTATCATGTGCTCGAACCGCGGACGCATTATACAATTGTGCCTGATTATACGGGACTACAGTGTCATTGTACCCACTCACAACAAGTGTAGGAATGCCAAGTGGAACCAACGTGGTAGGCGAGGTGTGCTGGTATCGTGTTGGACATTGAGCTGGCGCGCAACCCAGAAAATAATAAACCGCATTGTTTCCAAGATTCTTCTCGTACGCATCGACCATATCAAGCGCTCCAGCTTGGCTAACAGCAGCAATAGGACGCCATACTGGATTTGCACCAGGAGCACCATCCGGTTGTTTGAAACGTGAAGCTGCCCAAAGAGATAACTCTCCACCTGCGGAATGACCAGTAACAATGGTCTTGGAAGCACTGAGCCCAGTTTGATTCGCTACACTTACAAGGAGATCAGTAGCATTTCCGACATCGTAAAAAGTATTTGGCCAACCACCACCGTTTCCTCTTGAACGATAGTCAATGTTCCAAACTGGAATACCACGATTAATCAGGTCAGTGGCAGTTGAAATTTCTATGCTGCGATTGTATGCTGAGCACCACCACCCACCATGAATCATAACGACAACGCCGAGACCAGCTATACTGGTGTTTTTCGGCAAATAGAGATCGGCCACTTGAATGTTGGCATCACCGTATTTGTAACTGCGACAAATTGCATTACTGATCGAGAGACCGGCAGCTAAGAAAAAGTTTTATGAGAATGTGAAATAACACATTCAAAACTATGAAACATCCAAAAGTACTGACCACAAGAGGTGTAAGTTTGTCCAAAAACAGTCGTAAACTAAATGTGAAATATTGAGAGCAAAACAAGATTTTTCAAAGAATAGTTCATACCTGAGTGAGATACAAAATGCTTATCAAAGCCGGAAAGAACATTTCAGTCCTAAAAAGCAAGACGAATAAGTCATAAGCATCATGTACAAATAAGCAATCTATTGTACACTTACAACACACTATCCAAGTGAGGTTCAAGTTATATCTGTATGAGCGTACCCAGAAAGTAATACTGGAATCTGCTTATTCTAAGGTGCCGCTACTTCAAAAATCAAGTGTAAAAGCTTTCGAATTTTCAAGCACATATTCCGATTCGAAAAACTGATTCAAAAACTTGTTATCAGCTTTTAAGTAAACGTACCTCTATCGACTCAGTAAAGACTTATTTCATTTAGATATAGGTCCTTAAGAGCCGATGAGCTTCTGCAGCGTGAGCAGAGGTACTTAAAAGGTGATAACAAGTTTTTAGGTTTTCAATGGTGAATTTTCACTAAA